CTGTATTTGTGGCTTTGATGCAGGGTTATCAAACCCTGTTTGTCTACCTTAAGTTTTGTTTTTTTATTTTAATTATTTACTTATGATGTTTGTTTGCATGCTTCTTGAGAGAGAAAAGGTAATTCTTGACAATGACCTATTCTTAAGAGACTGCAAATGTTTTGTGTACATTACTCATTCTGTTTTTCCTGTGTGGAAGCCCGAGCTTACAAACTTAATTTTTTTTTTTATGTCCCTAAGCCATTTATTTGTTTTGGTAATAAATTGTATTCTAGATGTAAGATGCATTAAAACATATGAATTATTCTCTCACATTGTCTTCCATTTAATTTTCAGCATGGATGTCAGGTAGATGAGGATGAACTATTGTACGGAGAATCATCACAGACTGCCATTTACCTCTGATGAAGAAGCACAAGAACAGAAGAATATAAATGAAAGGTCAGTTACTGACTTTACCATTAAAACTCTTGTTTTCCATTCATTTTGCCGCAGGAAGGCTCAGTACCCATTTCTTTAATGTAACAAGAGTATATTTTTTGTCAAATTTCAAACCTTTTTGAGTTCAAAAGCATTCTTAATTGCTTCAATTATTATTTTTCTCATAAACTGCTGGTAATGCCTAAAATTTGTGTGAAAGGGAATTTTTTTTGTTTGTAGTACTATGTGTTTGAAATGTAGTTTTGAGGTGTTTAATTCAGTTTGGTGAATACAAATAACTACTTGGTTAGCATCATGTTATCTTGGTGTTTTTAAAAGGGGTATATGCTTAGTTAAAATACAAAGGTTTTTTCATCACAGTTGTAAACCTTATCCATGTATAAGACCTTTTCTGCATTGCAAGACATTTTTCCAGCATTTTTTGTACCACATTGCCACAGTTACTGTGCTGGTTTGAATTTACTTTGCAATCTTTTTTATTGGAACTGGTTCTTATCGTCCTCTGTTATCTCGTGTTATGGACAATTTAGAATGTTTAAAACTTTAGTTAAAGGGACCTCTACATAAGTGGTCTTGATGATATCACTTCTTAGAAAACATAAAATAAAGGAAAGAATATGACCACCCACTGATATTGTTAAATGCATGTAGTTATTTACTTGTTTGTTCTGCAC